TTTTTTTTAAAAAAAAAATGTAAGAGAGTTTATGAAAGTGATCAGGATATTAAAGTATGCACATAAATAAATAAATATGTAAGTAAGTAAATATGTGAATACATCTGTTTTGTAACTTTGTAATACAGTTTTCTCTATATGCCCAGGCTACCTTAATGACACTGGTTACTTACTTCTGTATTTAGGGCACATTAATCACGCACTCTTTCTTTCTTCACAAAGTGCATTACTTAGGAATTCCTATTGCACTCATCTTAATGCCATCTTTCTCCTGACATATGTAAATTTCTTCCCCTTATAAATAAGTGGACAGAAAACAATTTTGCTTCTTTCTTTCAACACACTACCTTTCTGCCAGCAATTACACCTCTAAAAATATCTGCATCCTTTCTTTCATTTTTAACAAATGTGTCAAGGCATTACAAATGCATCTATTTGCTCTAGGGGTTTTGTTTTCTTCAATCATCAAAGCCACCTTGTTATTTGAGACATTAAAATCCACGTTCCTTGTTTTATAATAGTCTAAAATTTGCTGTAAATCATTTAAGCTTTTAGCCAACATCACCTGCATGCAAAAATATTCTACATTCATGCCTCCATTATCACAAGCACTCTTTACATAGTTATCTATAAATATATTACACATCCAAGGGAAAACCGATATCCTTATCATAACACTGCCCAATGTTAATTTGCTTCATTTCTACTCTAATCACATTCTACAAACAGCCTTTATATACTCAGATAGAACATTCCTTAATCCAACACCATCCACTGTATCATATATTTTCCTTTATTCAGCAAGCATACAATATGCTTTCTCATATTAATTTCTCACATTTAATTTTTTTTTTTTGCTGAAGAGCAAAAATCTGGTTTACACATCAAGCATAAAGCCACGTAGCACTTTCCAAATATTGCTCTGTTACTTATTGTACCGTTTCAAATCAGAATTTTACCACATTGCCAGGCATACTTAATAGTTTTTGTAGTCTCTTCTACTCCTTTCTATGTATCTGTATGGGAATAATAATGGCATTATTTCAAGCCAGGCACTAGTGTAGATATCATACCCATTAAAAAAGCTTGCTCATTAACAAATCACGTTACTTTTTATTATTTCCTTGGATACACTGTCTATACTTGCATCCCATAATTTTTCAACTTTCTCCGGAATTTAATTTCCATCAAAATTACTCTGCAGATTTTGCTGCCTTTATTATTAACCATTCCTTGCTCTTTTAAAATTACATTCTATATATCTATCTTTTTTGTCTATACACATTATACTATATTTTTCATCCCAATAGTTTGAGTAATGACCTTTCATATGTATCTTTCTCATTCACAGCTCTTTCCCTTATTTTTTCCACCAAGCATTCCTTTTCATGTTTCCCATCAACATGCTATCTCACACTTTTGTGGCACTCTGTAATATATTTCTTTTTCACTCTGTGCCAAACAGATTTCTCAGTATTTTCCCATTTATTCTGGTGGAATTTAATCTTTTGGCTAATGCTTTTTCACATATTTCATCTTCTTGCAATCATTCTACTTTAGTTTCTTTTTTGGGTCCCTTTCTACCAAAATTCTTGAAAACAGTCTGTCTCACAACCAGTTTGATTATATCTTTGTTTTTCTCAATTTTTCATCACAAACCAATCAATCATTCATTTGGATTTATGTCCATTTCTTTGCCAAATGGATAGACTTAAGCTTAAAGTATATTTTAAACCAGGAGATCTTTTTTCTATGGAAATTTTATTTATTTATATTTCATATTTCTAGACTGTCCATTTCCCTGAAGGAAATGCTTATCAATTACTAATTCATTCTGGGGTCTCCCAACTCATCCTTTGGTCACCTTACAGAAATATTTCCCCCAAGATTATACGCAATTAAAGTTTTGCACATTTTTTTCTCCAAAAATCATGTCTAGTTCTTCCCCTATAGAATTCATTGGAGCCTAATATACAGCTGTTATCAATCTATAGATTCATAGCTAGGTAGACACTCATTATAAGCTATATGATGCATACTTATAATTGTTGCCCTTTCATTTACGGTATATCTATGCCTTCACTTCTCTGAATAATTTCATCAGCTTCATAAGATCAGGTTACATTCATTCATATATATAATTTTCTTCTCATACTTTAATTTCACAAATACATAGCTTTAATGTTTTTGTTTCTTTGTTTTTTAATTTTTCCTTGTTTTTTTTTTTACTTCTCTCATTCCAAATTGCAATCTTCTGCATGGCACGATTATCATCAGGTGGGCCATAGATGTTGACCTCTGCTTTCTATTTTGGATCAAGGTTGAAGTATCAACCAGCTTACCAGCTTTAATTGTACTTTTCCCACATGTCACATTCCCTGCTGATGGTAAGAGCGGCACCATTCAATTCTAGCTCATTTTGCTAAATGTCCCACAACTAGAGTCCAGTTTTATAGCAAAAACATGCTCATGCTATTCTATAAATGAACCTCTAATCTAGAGTACACTTTGTAAGCCAATAACTGTTTCCACATCCTACCAACTCAGAGGTATATGCAGTGTACTGGCACATTCTCAGGATAGGAAACATTAAATTTTAATGTTAAACTTGTACTAAAATATTAACAGTGTTACTTATGCCATTCTTCAGAAGTAATTGTCACCATTCCATGGAACACAAGTCTGTACATGGAACATTTCTACTGTGTTTGGCAATGCGCCTTTCATATTTTTAGTTATTGTTTATATCAGTTTTCAAAACATAAAGTTGTTTGCATTTTGAATGCACACTTGCAAAGGGAGAAAAATCTCACATTAATGCATTAGAGATGCTACGCACTGAAATGTTTTCCAACAGCTCACTCCAACCTGACTGATCTCCAGATGTGTGGATTTCAGTTCCCCATATTCCAGGCAGCATTGCTGTCTCTGAGATTTTAGAAATGTAAACACAGTGTTCATCTTTAAAGGGTCCCACGTTGGGAAAAAAACCAGACTTTTAATTGTACTTAACTAGCTAGGTAAATGTTGCCTGTGGAAGATTGTGGAATAGTTAAAAATATTTTCTTTTCATCTTTAACTTTCTCATAACTTATCTACATCTTGATGCTTCAGAAAATAGGGAAAAAACTGTATCAGTGTAATGGAGAATGGACACAAGACAAAAGCCACTAGGTCCTTACCTTTTTGAGGCAGATTCATTTCAAATTAAAACCTTCATTCTGATTATATATAAAAACGCTCTAGGGAGAAATGAACAGGTATGGACATACCATTAAACTATAACTTAGATCATGCTTAAAATGTTAACACTTATTTCTTCATTCTGCTTCCCTTCTCTCCATCTCGTATGACTGTTTGAAGGATGTCACCAGAGATCTGCACATACATGCAGCCGATTGGCTTTGCTAGCTGTCCCAGGGTACACGAATGGCAAATGCTTGGTCTTTGAAACTATGCAATGGGTTGGATCAGATACTGCTTGATGTTCTCTCCATTGTTCCTTGTTCAGACATGTTTTGCTGATATAGCAGCATCCAAACTTTAGAGTCTTCTTGTACAGTGTAGCCCTGTACACTGCAGGGGATTGTGGGCCCTGCTCTAAGATACATCCTTTAATTCAGTGGTCCCCAACCTTTTTATCGCCGCGGACCAGTCAGCCTTTGATAATTTTACC